CCCCAAAACCCCAAAACCCCAAAACCCCAAAACCCCAATGGTTTTAATATATGAAAATCTGATTGATCTATAATTAGTAATATATTATCTTTATTTAGTTTCATTGACATATTCATATAAATTGTTTCCACATCCTCACTTGTTAAAATTTTGTAGATATTATTCTAAACTCCATATCAGATGATCTTTATTAACTACTGCTAGCTCACCGTATTTCCTTGTGGTGCTATCTTCAGCAAGTTCAAGCAACTCATTGCTCTGCTTTTTCAAAAATAGCTTAAGCTTTATCTCCTTATCAGACAACTTGGCTGCAGATTGCTTCTCCTTGATTTCCAATTTCCTCAAAATCTTATCAGTTGACAGCCCATCCTCCCAGAACTTAATCAGTATCTGCAATTTTTCATCCTTAGTTGGGATTGAAGTTATCCGAGCATTCTTTTTCTTCTAGTACTCATCTATATTAATTATCAATCAGAAGGCACTTACTTATTAGAAGCTAGAGCAGACTATTTTTGATCGGCTCATGCTAGCAAGCGTTAGTCTAAGATAGTCCAACTACAGTATTATAATTCTCAGAGTCTTAGCCTGAAGCTGGGGCAGCAGCACTTTAGTGGGACTGTCGGATTCCAGTGTTTATAATACTTGATGGTAATATATTGCTTCCGTTAATGTTTTACCCAGAAGGTAGATTGTTGTTATTTGATACTGAGTTGAATGAAAGCTTTTTGCCTTTGATTCGAGATAGCTTTATCTTTTAAGTAGAGATTTTTGAAGTTTAAAGCTAGTTGGTCATGCTGATCTTGGAAAGAGAGCTTTGCTTTAGTATGCCATTTGACTTGAAATTTAGGTTGCCTTCAGATGTTCCATTGCTCTATGTCTCCACTGTTTCACTTTAGCGTGTCTCAGTTTATTTTTTTATTCCAAAATCATGAAATTGCAGTATCGCTCGTTCAGAATGTATCTTTTATTCTTCCACAATTGATTGTTCTCTGCCTAGATTGCATTTAAACTCCAAAGCATTGTTGAATTTGTATTCAGACATTATCTAGGTACTTCCACATCCCATATACATTGTTTAGAATTTATTATCAGAATTTGCATCTCTTTATGTGAAGAACCTCTCCCTACTGCTAGCCTCTCTTCTTGATTCCTGAAGCATTCGTTCAGCCTAGGTCAACTGCTTAATCTTCTCTTACTCAAAAGACTCTTCCATCTACTAGAGTTAGTCATTTCTCTCGCTTATTTCATTAAGCATTTCTAGCTCGAGTCTTTCAATATCCTGAGTTGTATTCAGAATAAGCTAAGGGTCTTAGACTGTATCTCTTCTTTTACTGCTATGCTTGCGCTTTTAGCTGTGCTTGTCATTGGCATGATCTCTATGATGCTGAGATGCTGAGTTATTCTCTGGTTTATCTCTGCGTCTGATCTGCTTCTTGCTCAGCTACAGTTTGGTATTCCTGACGCAGTTACTATGTTGAGGTATCATAGACTGAGAGATTTAGGAATGGCTGACTTATATAGTATCATTTGATGGGTTGATTGATTTGTTTTAGATATGAGCAGTTTATGTCAGATCAGAAAGCACATCAATAATAGAAGATTGGAATTAAAAGTTATGGTTGTTATTCCCATTTTCGTTTTATGAGTATCCCTTGTTCTTACTCATATTTATATTTTAATTGGTAGTCTACATGAGTTGAGAGTTTCCATTTGAAGAGGACACTATTGTGAAATTTGATATGAGGGTCTTGTTTTTCTAAGCAAGTTAATTAGTCTAAATTTTATACCAGCCATTTTTACTACCACCATTATTATTGCCGATTCCATCATTCTAACCCTTTTTGTTTTATAGATTAATGTTATTGGATGGAGATTTTATATTGATGATGTTGGACTATTGTCCTATTGGACTCAAGTTCCCAGGGATTGCAATGAACTCCTAACTGTTTTACTAGTTATTCAAGTTAGAGTTGAATCCTGAGTAGTTTATCATATTTTACTGGGATTTATTCTATAAAGGGGAGATAAAGCTTCCAGAGTTTATTCCTATTTTACTGTTCTCTTGGTTTCCAGAGAAAAGATTTTTACTAGGACTCTACAAGTTATGATTCATTGGCTTTCCATGAGTGTGGTGATTCACATTATTTATGGGTCCAGATTTTTCACCAATCAGGTTGGGAAACTATTAGGTTTCAAAGGAAAATTCCCCTAGTTGATCTCCAAGAGTCTGATCATTCATCGTATATTATGAAGAAGGGAATTAATTTTAATTAGGGAACTTGGCAATTATCTGTGAAATGTTATTCAACTTACTATCTTCATTTATGGGATTCATTATTATTTACTTTGTGTGATTATGAGAGATATTAGCCAGTATGTTGCTATCTTAAGGTATATCTTGTTCAATCTAGGGCCTGAATATATTAGTCACGCTTTAAGACCCACTAAAGCAACTTTACTAATTAGAGAGACTACTCGTACTAATGTCAATAGGCATCTGTTGATTTTAGGATATTTTATCCCCACTCTTAATTTCAAAGTGATCCTTGCTGTCTAGATTCAAATTATACTAGAGAGCATTCACGCCGTCTAAAATCTTGAGTGGAAGAGTTTCAATTCTATGATTTAAATTTATAGTCGTTGATTTTGAAGGTTCATCAAGCGAAGGTTGTTAAGATGAGAAAAAATTCCTGTAAAACTCGAACAGCTGGCATATATTGTTGGTCTGTTCCCCGAACTACTCATAGTATTTCGACTTCAAGAAATCTATACAATAATATTTGAAGATAACTGAATGTAAGAAAGGACTGAAAAGATATAATCCAATTACTTACCTATGTCTTAAACTATAGAAGAAGAAGACATATTATTTTAAAAGTTGTTCATTTTAAATATATTTTTCATTCTCCTCAGCTCATCTCAAATGATTTGGTTTGGGGTTTTGGGGTTTTGGGGTTTTGGGG